AACCGACGTCATGTATGATTGTATTTTTTAATTTCTTGCACTCACCTTCTGCAATGGAAGATAATGTTACTAATCCTGTCATAATATGGCGGTAGTTGAGACCGGTTGAGACGGCGTGAGAAGAGAGGACGACGACGGTAAGGGAAACATTGGGAGGTTAATTTGTTTTAATTACTGTCAATTTATTTTAATCAGGAAATAATGAGTTCACACGCGATAGGAAATTCTGACATACAGTGCAAAAATTTTAGCAAGATAAAAGACACCTGATGACGGCCGTATATAGCAGAACCATGTAATGTGGAAAAAGGGTGACTATGTAATAAGGTGTATTTGAGAGGGAAATATATGTGAAATAAATGATATATTAACGCAACAGGCTGCTTAAATACAACATTGGGTACATCCGTTCTTCTGTGACAATTTAAACTGAGGCGCTTATATTGTTTCGCAAGAACTTAACCTGGATCCAGACTCCTTCGTTCTATGAGAAATTCTTTCCCAAGCCAAATCTCTTTTGTCCCGCCTAGCACAGTCTGGGTGGCGTTTGTCACATATATCAGGCTCTTGCTCAATTAACTGCACAAAAACAAAACTTGCAGCTTCGTCAATCTTTCGTGCCACTTAAACAAACAAATGCATCACTGAACCGCGTTACGGAACAGCTGATACTAGGAAAACATGCGGCAACGCAATTGTGGGAAGACTGGAATGCTCCGTTGTCTGGAAGTTGAGTTTCTCAGTCTTTCCTCAAGTTGCTTTGCCGTTTCCTCAATTTGCGCTGTTCCATTCACTAACATGTCTTCAACTCAGGCTGACAACAATTCTCGGAAATTGCGGTTGCGTTTCAGTTGCCGGTTTCCTTGGTGTGCCCTCGGTATAATACCTTTGCAATGTCCGTTCCATTGCAAATATTAACAAAACCGCTGTACGGATTTTCATGAAATTTCATATGAGAACACACTACAATTTGCCGATACATGTTTTGCTAATATAGTACAACAACAGACCTAAAACCGTTTACGCGCGCATCTTGAATATAACTGGTTATATACTTATATGAATTAAAACATTTCGAAAAAAGGAACTTGTGGAGAAAATGAAACACCTCATATATCAATGCACATTTCCGGTTTCTGAAACTCGTTTTGACCAAATTTTATAGCGAAGAATTTTGTTCATCCGGTAAGCCTGTTTCGACATACAAAGAAATGTCAGAAATTGCCAATGTGGAATTAAAAATATAGAAGAAACGGAGAAATGAACGCGCCAGAATTGTTTCAGTTTGGGTACATGTCCTATCCTGTCTGTAACCCCTTGAATGATTAGCCAGTCAAGTACATCCATTCCAAGAGCACGATTTGAATCGTGGTTCCACTGTAAAAAGATGAAATGATACTCTTGAACAAACAAGGTTCCACAGTGACTGAGTGTTCCAAGTCAACTGCAGATGTATTTCATACAAAATGTAACCAAAAAAAAAAAAATCTGTGGCATGTAGTCTGCAAGCGAACTATACCGACCGAGCGACCGCCGCTTGTCGGCGAAGTGAGTGCCAACTTTAGCGGATAGAGGGTGTCGCGTGGTCAGCGCAACGAATCCCCACGGCCGTTAATTTCGGTTCTCTAGACCGGAGCCGCTATTTCCTTAAAATAGCTCCTCATTTATCCTAACGAGGCTTGAGTGGACCCCGTTCCAGACCAACTACTTCCCAAAAAATATGTGACGGGAATCAAATCCGAACCTCTGGATCTGTAGTCAGGAACTCTGACCACCAGACCACAGAGTTTCTACCTTCTTCACGAAGAAAACTGTGCTGAATTTTTATCAACAATTTCCATTTCATCATCATCTCGTTTGAAAATTGTTTCATTTGGTTCTGTCGAAGCACCTGGCGTCTCTGGCTTCACTTGGCTTGGCACTCTGGAGAGCCTGAGTTCTTATCTCAGAGCTGGTGCCATATTCGCGGATATTCCCACTGATGATTTATAAGGATATGAATGACGGAATAACAAGTGACTAATTCTGATTAAATGTTTACGTTTGTCGACAGGTAGCAGGAATACAGTGTCTGCCATTCAACTTGCACCTATACAGCTCACGTAATGCGAATACGCAGAACTGAAGCCAACAATACCAGCAGCACTCGTTACAAGTTCACTCTATGAAAACTCCAGCCGTATAAGACTGTAATAATTCCAATAAAATACACAGCATAATACCTAACATACCAAGTTCGAAGGCACCTTAAACAGTTTAGTAGCAGATGACCTCCCTATCTGCAACAATGTAAATTTAGGTGGATAAAGTAAAGTAAGTAAAGGTATCCCTGTAACAGGCCGTGGAGGCCCATAGGGTTGTGAGACGTTGAGGGTCCTACATTTTCTAGACAACTGTCTCACAGATGGCGGTAAGGTTGTCACCCTTACGCGCCGGCCGCGCTTTACTCTCCAGAAACTTATTTAATTAATTCCTGGTACTCATTTCTGTTAGAGGCTGAGTCAACCCCAGGTCCATAGTGCGGCTGGAATGATTAGGTCAACTAAAAAAAAAATCAAATAACCTAATCGGGACTTGAACCTGCGACCTTCCGGCTTGTAGCATAGTGCCTCAACCAACTACGCTACCACGTACCCAAAATTGAGGTGAAATCATATAATTATATATATTATTATTAATTTATTCATAAGATTTGTTTTCACAGCAATGAATATTAAGTGTACGTTCTTCTGACATTAACGCCATGTGGCGTCATGTAGCGGGGGACTAAATACTACACGGCGCCATTCTCACAAGGCTGTAATCTCATTCACCTAGGGTCTACTCAACGACTCCGTAACTCAGACTATATATCAACTTATGGGATGATTAACAAATAATGAATTGGAAATGGTCTGCAAGGAGACATCCGTGACCTAATTCGAGCTGTCATCTAGCTCGAAAGAACTGAGGAAAACCAAGAAACTCTCAGTCAAGATACGCGGTCTCCGGACCGAGATATGAACCCGAAACCTCTGGAATATGATCAAGGAATGCCACCCAGTCAGCCACAACATAAGACAATGTGGGTGGAGTCAACGCGTATACTGTGTGTGTGTACTGAGGGCCGTAATGCAAAACGCTACAGTCCAGCTAGCAGGGTTCATTCTCGCAGTTCTTTCTGCAGTCTCTCGTCGAACGTGAGATCGATTCGCAGTTCATATTCTGTCCTGATGAAGTGTGGTTTCACTTGCAGGGATGCATAAATACGTAAAATAATCCCTACTGAAGTTTACAGAATCTACATCTAACCCATGAAGTCCTGCTTCATCCATTGAAAATTGGTGTCTTAGTGTGACGTAGGTGCAAGAGGGATTTACTGGACCTGTTTTTAACAAAACAATTAATTGTAAAAGATATCTCCGTGTATATGGGCTGCATTTTCATCACCTGTAATCTGTGAATTGTAGTTACTTCACTCCGAATGTTATGGGCCGTCAGACATGTCGATTCATCGGCAAAATTCCTATGCACCTCGCAGCCAGCGGTGCACCGGTCGCGGTGAAGTGCAGAGACGTCGAACCGGTCAACAAAGTAAAAATCCTCCTTGTACTATCCCGGGATTTGCCTGGGGGAATTGAGTAAAACCACGAAAGAAACCACTCAGAATAGCCGAGATTCTTTCCAAACATCTGCTCCATTACCTCTATTCCGTGCAAGTTAATTTTAAACTGAAATTCTACTATCCCAGTACTGTAGGGCACACAATGACGACTACGTGGTAGGTAGCAGCGATAAGCGACAAGTAGCATTCTACACTGAACTCCAATCCCCTCTAAAAGCGTCATCTGGTTCTACTGACGCCGGAAATGCCATCGCATGGCTCTGTTTTGTTATCGGAGCACGCCTGAAATGTTTACACTGTTTCATCTGTGTTGGTCCATGTCACACACCCTTCAATTTACTGCACTTATTTCTGGGACACCCTGGAATAATTCTTTTGTGGGGAACCGTTATGGAAAGACGCCAATTGGAACTAGCAACGCGTAAATCGGATGGCAATATTAAGACTAACCTTGGGGAAGATGGTTAAAATTATGTGAACTGGATTGAACTGATTCGGTATACAGTAATGGCGCATTTTTGTGGTGACGATTATAAAAGTTAAGGTTCCATAAATTAAATATTGTAGCGTATTTCATCAAGGCAGGAACTGTGGAGTCACAGAAACAACCGTTGCTAGGTAATACTCGCAAGCAACAATACAGGAACTGTCACGGTACCAGAAGTGACGCGTACAGCCGTTGTTATGGAGCGATTGAGTAAGCACGTTTCCGCGGAGACGAATTCACGCAACAATAGAAGAGAGGTCTTCCGTGAGGTCTGTGCAGAGGGGTTATAAAAAGTAAAAAGAAGATCGTTTAAATCAGTAGAGTACCGCAGTACTAAGTAAGCAGTCACTCAAGAGCTGGGTCAGTTGTTATTTTGGTTATATATTCTCCACAATACATTCGAGTATTAAAGCGTGTGCTTTAGAATTCCATATTAAGAAACACAATAATGCAGGTGGTGACAAAAAGAAACACAAAAATGATGATTTTATTGGAATGCAGTTTTCAGAATTGAAAATGTGATGTTAGTATTAATGTTATGAAACAACAGTGCATAACGGACACTATTCTAGAAAAGAAACTGCAAAGTTCGATAGCAAACGTAAGTGCTTCTTAATCCCAGATTTCGAGTAAATTAAAAAAAAAAAAGGTACATGTGCGTCCCGACATTTGTGGGGACATCACGACACTAGTTATAAAAACGGGACTGTCCCGGGCAAAACTGGACTTACGGGCATCCTAGTCCAGACCTGCTTTGGGGCACACACCCTACCTCCTACCCAATGAGTAATGAACACAAGTAATGTTGCTCGGCCTAGGTTATTACAGACTCCTACTCCAATTATGTGAGCCTTCCTACTTTAGAATTATACTGTCTAGTGACAGGGTCACGGCATTACAAAATCATACCCGCCAGCCCTCGGCGGTAGGCCTACCACCTTGTCAGGAGGTGGTGGCATCGGCGGCGGAAGGGGCGGAGCCGGGGGTGACACCTGCTGTTGCTGTCGCTCGTTGTCCGTCGCCACATCTATGATACTGGGATCCATATCCAGGATCATTCTCAGATCTTCATCGATGCCTATGTTAACACGAACTGTTGGACTTTCTTTACACACGACAGGAGAGTTTACCACTGATGTTCGGGTTTCAGGCATCGCGGGTATCAAGCCTACTGCCATGGTAGCAGTAGCAGGGGCGCTACGGCAATGGTGATGATCTGGGATGCAACAATTTCCAGTAACAAGATGGGTACCTCTGTTCGTCAAATTCGCACAAGACGTGTACGTACTACAGTAACCACTGTAACTTGATGCTGTTGTTACAACCGGTTCATTTAAAATACGATCCATTCTTTGAATTATATCTTGAAATTCATTTATCTGCTCGTTCGTAGTCAACAAACTACCATCGTCACTAAGTCTAGAATGCGCACCATCAGAACGAGCTGCAGATGAAGGCTGGAAAGCAACCTCCATGTTGACACACTCAGAACAACGAGAATTCCACCACGCGTTCGCAGTTCTTCCTCTACGCACGGAAGCTGTACTGTCTCTGAACATGCTTGGGATGTGAAGACGCGGGTTTGCTATTTTCTGCCCAAGCACGCCAACTTCACCCATTTCTTACTGCAGTCGGCCAGTCCAAGACTGCTGGGTCCATTCCAACTTTTCGAGTGTCACAGCCGTGAAACTGATTGACGCAAATGAGAACAAAACTTCACCACTGCCTTCGTGTTTTGAAGTGACAGCAACTTCTATAATGTGATGAGCGTAATCAGCCAAGTAACGGGTATAATTTCGACTGAACACAGAATATAACTATAAATTAAATACAAACTGTTAAGCTAATTTAAATATACAAGTAAGATAATTTAAATTATCTCAACACATAAGAAGTAAAATAAAATTAAACGTGGTAGCGTAGTTAGTTAAGGCACTTTGCTACAAGCCAGAAGGTCGCGGGATCGAATTCCGATTAAGTGGATTTTTTCAATTGACCTAATCCTTCCAGCCTGGGGTCGACTCAGCCTCTAACAGAAATGAGTACCATGAATATTCCTGGGGGTAAAGGGCGGCCGGCGCGTAAGGCTGACAACCTTACCGCCATCTATGAGCCGACTGTCCTCAAAATGTGGGAGCCTCAACATCTTGCAACCCTCCACGGCCTGTTACAGGGATAGCTTTACTTTACTTTAACTATATAAGGTACATCCAGTCAAGACAGCCATTTCTTGTTATTCTTTTACCGGTGTTGCTTTTGAACGAGCTTTGTACCTGTTACATGTACACTAGTGTGTTTAGTGCGCACACAAAGAAGGCATATTTATCCGCCATGCAGCGTATATTTTATATCAGTAAGTAGCTTTCCAGTATTCGTGTGTAACGTATGATATATAATTTTTCAGATTTTCAATTAAACCGTATTTAGCATAAGTCAAAACTTGTAAGGATAAATAAAAAACGAAGAAACAAACTCGGTGGCTCGAGTCCGCAAGCGAACTATACCGACCGAGCGACCGCCGCTTGTCGGCGAAGTGAGTGCCAACTTTTGCGGATAGAGGGTGTCACGTGGTCAGCATAACGGATCCCCACGGCCGTTAATCTCGGTTTTCTAGACCGTTCTAGACCCTGTAAGGATAAATAAAGTGGTTAAACTTCGATGGTTGCATTTCTTCATTGCCCCCTCCACCAACTACGTTCCATTCATTAAACAGATCATAGAGAGGGATCGTTTTCTCGGGAACATGGATAAACAGCCATTGGGTGAGATCCCTGAAAACTTCACAAAATATTTAAAAATTATGAAACGATGAATTTCAGAAGAAGTAGACAACAAATAGAGCAAACAGCGCGTGGATAATCAGACTACGTGTAGACCAATGGAAACCTGGAAGGAACTCTTACTGGTTTCTTGTTTGGCTTATAGTTCGGCCGTGAAGATGGGGACGATGTGTTCGTCCGAAACGTAACGCTTCTTCCCAACACACGGCATTACAACCCAGAAGAACGTACCGCTGTGAGAACCTCAAATCCAACATGTTTTCTATTTTTTTTTTAATCCGCATAGTGGAGGGTGGAGTCCAGTTGGGTCTACTCAGCACGGCGGCCACTGATTGGCCTATTGTAGCACGTCCCAGGTGATTATGATGATGGAGAATTTGGTGGAATGACGACTGACAGGAGAAACCGAAGTACTCGGAGAAAACCTGCCCCAGCGCCACTCTGTCCACCACAAATCCCACTTGACCATACCCGGGATCGAACCCGGGCCGACGCGGTGGGAAGCCAGCGACTAACCGCTTGAGCTATGGCGCGGCCATGTTTTCTATAACTGCCGTAATGTATCTCTCAGCAGTAGAACATTCTGGAAACACTGACACACTTCGACGGCTTCCAAGCATCTGCCTGCTCGAAGACTACGAAGTGTGGCCGGAAGAAAGAAAAAACTGTTTAATTCGAGAACTGATAGAGCCGGGTAGGAGAAAATACTATGATAATGTGGATACATTCTTAAATCTTGGAATTTGTTTGGCGTTCTAACTAAACAAAACGAAATGACCAACCAATACACTAAAACCAGCATAACTTCCTCGAACATGGAAGGTGTCCGATTCGAGTCTCCGCCAGAAAACCGACTATTATGACTAGAGTTCTTTACGGTTTTCCTCAATTCCTCCAGGCAAACGCCGGTATAATGCTTAGGCCAGAGTAACTCCATTTTATATCATTTCGAATTTATTGCTCAAAAACAAAAGCAAACTCCGTGGCCTGTAGTCCGCAAGCGAACTATACCGTCCGAGCGACCGCCGCTTGTCGGCGAAGTTAGTGTCAACTTTAGAGGATAGAGGGTGTCGCGTGGTCAGCGCAACGAATCAATATCCTATATGCATTCCTCTTCTCCCCCATTCGAGCTACATGCCCTGCCCACCTCATCCTAGTTGACTTGGTCATTCTAATTATACTTGGAGAAGAGTACAAGCTATGAAGCTCCTCACTTCATCCCTCTTTGGTCCAAATATTCTCCTCAACTCCCTGTTCTCAAACACCCTCAGTCTATGTTCCTCCCTTAATAGCAGGTACCAAGTTTCACACTCACACAAAAACCTAAGGCTAATTATAGTTTTACATATTCTCATTTTTATATTTTTAGACAACAGATGAGAAGACGAGACATTCTGTACTGAATGGTAATAAGCATTATACGAATTAATTCCCCTCTTAATTTTCTTTTGAAATAAATTTTGTTCTGTTACTGTCCTTCCAAAATATCTGAACTGTCTCACATTTACAAGGGATCTGTTAACTACCTTTATGTCATGATTTTGCTCTGCATTCTGGTGACGAGACAAAATATACTTAGATTTCTCTGTGTCTACTTTTAGATCAACCTCCTTCTCTCTCTGACTCTACAGCCCTTTGGACCTTGGCCATTTTTTTGTAATTTATTAATCCTATATAAATTCGGCAGGACTCCTTGGATTGGGGATCAGCCCAACGCAAGGCCACTACCTACACACAGAACAACACAAATAAAGAATAATTGCATGCATAAAGGCACGTCTATGCCTCAAATGACATTCAAACCCACAATCCCAGTGTTTCAGTGGACGAAGATGGTTCAAGCCATAGAACGCACAGCCACTGTGATTGGCGACCAACCTCCTTACCAGCATCAATTAAAATTTATGTTTTTTTCCTTTGTGGTACCTATATTATTTCCCAGTAGATCCACATCATCAGCACAGACCAGCAGCTGATATGTCCCACTTAATTTCAGTCCCACCTGGTTTCCCTGGACCTTCCTAACGGCATATTCTAAAGCAAAGTTGGAAAGCAGTGGCAATAAAGCATCTCCTTGTTTTAGACCATTCTAGACAGAAAAATTATCAGACAAATGTTTACCTATATGGACTTAGAATAATTTCATTTAAACACATTTTAATCAGCCTATCTAGTTTCATGGTTACCCCAAACTCTACGAGAATATTGTACAATACTTTCTTCATAACTGAATCATAGGCTTTCTTGAAGTCTATGTAGTTGATGTATTGTCTCACTGTATTCCCATTTTCCCTCCAGTATGTGATGAATGCAAAAAGTCTATTCAGTAGCTGATAATGATGACTCCAGTAAATTCATCTATACATGAACTTAATCTTGATATTGGATGAAACTTCATATGAAGTTGATAGCAGTGATGTCCCATGATAATTACTACAATCAGCTTTAATCACCCTTCTTGTGAACTGGTACAATAATAGACTCCTTCCAATTCTTCCTTATTCCAAATAGAATTAACAAGATTATGGATCTCAAACCATAATGTTTCACGTTCTGCTTGAACCAGTTCTGCCACAATTTGATCATTAACTGGCGATTTATACCCTTTCAATTTTTCAATGACACTTTCAACCTCAAAAGGGCTCATTTCAATCTGAAACCGGTGCATTATCAACATTAATTCAGTTTTAAACACAAGAGTTCTGGGAAAAACTGCCTACTTTCCTTTGATACAACACAACTGCAAAGAAAACAACACTCTTGGAGAATAAAATTTGTTTAGTGATGAGCCAGTTACATATTAAGGGAAACATAAAAGTAAAAGTAAAGTAAAGCTATCCCTGTAACAGGCCGTAGAGGCCCATAGGGCTGAGAGAGATCAAGGCTCCCACATTTTTTTCTGTTTGAGGCTGGGTCCACCCCAGGGCCATAGTGTGGCTAGAAGGATTAGGTAAATTGAAAAAATCCCCCTAATCAGGATTTAATCCCGTAACTTCCGGCTTCTAGCATAGTGTCTCAACCAACTATGCTAGTACAGCCTACAAAGGCATAGGATGTTAATCTCTGCCCCAGGGTACTGAGTGCTTCATTGGTTTACTTTCAGTCCCTACAGCAGCATATGTGTGTAATTGTAATAAGTCATGTTTCATATTCCAGATGTCATACATTGAGATCATTGGTCAAGGACCAAGCATCATGATTCACACATTTCACGATTTCCTTCAGTTCCTCCACCCACATGAGAAGATACTGATTTGTATTGCCTGTATATAGTAACACCTCATATTATTCTCTATCTCCATCTGTTTGCTCTTGGAAAAGCTGAGTTGTCGTCCATTACAAATACAAATCATAATTCTACATAAATATAAATGAAACCCATTCGAAAATTATCCATTTCAGAAGTCAAAGGACTTAATTTATACTGGATGACATGATGGAAACTTTCCATTTAAGACACTGCTCAAGAATTTCATGCAAGCATTACAAGAGTAACTTCACTGTCCAATGCTCATTCACGAACTGTTTCATACATTCAATACTTTAAGAAATAGTACAGTTCTGAGTAATGATAATATGCATAATATTCTTATGAGACGGCGAGCATAAAAACATGACAAACAAACTCTGTGGCCTCTAATCTGTAAGTGAACTATACCTACTGAGCAACTGTCGCTTGTCAGTGGAGTTAGTGCCAACTTTTGTGGATACAGGGTGTCGCTTGGTCATCGCAACGGATTCCCACAGCTGTTAATC